TATAAATTCTCTGATCGTGCTGAACCCTTATATCCAGGCTTTTAAAGTGACCCCCTGTTACATGTCTAAATTCTGTTCAGATCCTTATGTTTTTCTTGTCTATATTTCCCTGTCCTCATTCTAAATCAAAATGCCATCCTTTTCCTCTAATTGTTTCTTGTTGTCTTTATTCTTTCCCTCACATCAGCCAGAGTTATCTTAAAATCAGATCATGTGAGTTTGCTGTTTAAAACATTCAGTGGTGTGCTGTGGTGTTTGAAATATAATCTTTACATGATCTTTTCCTTGTATGCTTCTCCAACTTCAAGTCATGCAGCTTTATGATTCAGTCAGTACATTTAACTTCCATGGTTTCCTTTTTTGAGTTATTTTAATATGTCAAGGTCTTTCTTGACTCATGAACACATGCTGTTCCCTGTGACAGAAGATTGCCTTTTCTGATTGATCGCCTTATCTAAAGCAAGCCTCCTGTAGTCTCATACCTGTGCTGTGTCTCATCCTGTTTGTTTCCTTCTTCACATCGATTATAGTTTGTAATGATCTTTTCTGTTAGAACATAAGCTGTGTGGGTGCAGGAAAAAAACAGTGACATTCTGTTTGACATACTAGTTTCTTAGGTGTGAAGGGCGGGGGGGCGGGGTTTACTGGGGATTGAACCTAGGACTTTATGTGTGCTAGGCAAGTATTGTACTATGATCTGTGAACCAAACTTGGATAATTTTTTACCAACTCTTGTTTTTTTCCCAGGTCGTTATTTGTCATAGAAATGGAAGACATCAAAAGACTTTAAATTGATTATGACTTTAATGCTAAATAGCAAATTTCAGCAATAGGATTTTTCTACTCATTGAGAAATTAGATTTGTTGGGGAGATAGCTTATATGTATATGATGTATGCTCATCAAGAGTTTACTTTGTAATTGAATTAAAAAATATCTTTTTGAGACAGGGGAGAGGGTCTCCCTGTAGCCCCAACTGGCCTGGAACTCATTATATAGACCAGGCTAACCTCGATCTCACAGAGATCCGCCTGTTTCTGCCTCTGAGTGCTGGAATTAAAGGTGTGGGCCACCATGCTTGGCTGTATTGGATTTTAATTTATAGTTCATTGTCACTGATTCAATTGGTTTGTCTAGCTCTGTGATACTTGTATGTTTCCCCAAACTTTTTGGAAATTTGGGAAAAAAATTAAAAAGACACTAGATGCATATTGGTAAGTGTACTGTATTAAATACAGTTTTGTGATAGCTATAACTTGATTCTTTAAATTAGTTCTCTAGTATCTTTTAAAAAAAATATATGTTAGAGATAGGCATTTAATATATGCATATGATTCTCCTGAGTCTTTTTTGATATCTCGTCAGTAGTTTGATCGTTTTTTAGGTTTCTGATTTACCACGATATTCCATAATGAATTTGTATATTTTGTTGTTGTTCTAGACCTAAGAATGGCTGTTGTCTCCCTCTGGAGCCCTAGCTCTTTTTAAAATGGCAGTTAGCCTTTAGAGACCATAGCTTGTGTGTTTAGAATTAAGGTCATTGCTGCTGGGTTAATCATATAACTTTTTTTGCGGTAGGATTATTTTTATTATGTTCTAGTGTATTCATTTTTAAACTCACTTTTTAATTGAGCAGTAGTTCATGTCACATAAATTCAGTCTTTTTTTTTTTTCTTTTTGAGACAGGGTCTCTCTGTAGCGCCAACTGGCCTGGAACTTAATGTGTAGACCAGGCTGGCCTCGAACTCACAGAGATCCACCTGCCTCTGTGTCCTGAGTGCTGGGATTAAAGGCATGCACCATGCACATATATCCAGTCTTTTGAAGCAGTGCTTTTTAGTATATTCCTTATGTTGTACAAACATCACTATCTAATTCCAAAAGATTTCTGTCACCTCATATACCTACTCTGTACCCGCTAGTAATCACTCCATATTCCTCTCTCAATTCAAACCCTGACAACTACTAATTTATTTTCACTTTCTCTGTATTTACCTACTTTAGATATTCTACCTAAACAGAATCACACAATTTGTAGCCTCTTGTGCCCCAGGTTCTTTCAGTTAGTTAGCATAATGTTTTTTATCCATGCGATATCATGAGTCAGTATTACCTTTTTATTATTGAATAATATTTCATTCTATATATGTTGCTTATTAGTTCATCAGTTGATACACATATAAGTTGTTTCCTTTTTTGGACTGTTATGAGTAATGCTGTATGAATTTTTATTTGCAGGTTTAATTTTTTAAAAATTTCAATTTCTGGGACTGGAAAGATGGATCAGCACTAGCTATCTTTGTGGTATTCACATGGCGGCTGACAGCTGTCCATAACTCCAGTTCCAGAGGCTCCAACACCCTCTTCTGACCTCTGTGGACATCACCCAACATGGATGCACTTTCGTACATATAGGCAAAACACTCATACACATAAAAACAAAAATTGAATTTCTGTTTTTCTTTTTTACTATTGAGATGATTTCTTGCATTGGTTTCAAGTTCCTGGCATCAAGTGAGCCTCCTGCCTCAGCCACTTTAGTAGCTGGGACTGCAGTTGTGTACCTCCCCTGAGCCCAACTTCTAGTACATAAGTTTTGTGTGGGGACATATTTTCAGTTATATTGAGTATATACCCAGGTATAATATTGATGGGAAATGTGACTGTATAACTTTTTAAGGAACTACCACACTGTCCTTACAGAGTTTCTTCACAATTTTGCATTCTCATGAGCAATTTATGAGGGTTTCAAGTTCTTCACATCCATCTACATTTCTCTCCCTCCCTCCCTCGCTCCCTCCTTCCCTCCCTCCCCCCCTTCTCTCTCTCTCAATGCATGTCAGTACATGTGTGTGCAGGTGCACATGTGACAACCTAGGTATCATCCTCAGAAATGCTGCCTATCTTCTTGAAGACAGGGTCTGTCATTGCTCTCATTGGTTTGAAGCCCACTGAAGCTCACCAGTTAGGCTGGACTCACCAGTTACCTTGGTCAGCGAGCCCCAGGTACCGTCCTATCTCTGCCTCCTCAGTAGTTGGATTATAAGCGCTGGCCACCATGCCCAGCATTTTTACATAGGTTCTGAGAATCAAACTCAGGTCCTTATACTTAAGCGAAGCACTTTATTGACTGAGCCATTCCCAGCTCCTCTATTAAAATTTTTTACATTAATATCTTGGTACTCGAGTTACATTTGAGTTGTCTATAATTGAAAACATATCTGGTATGTTTGATATAATAAAAAATTGATATATAATTTAATTTATAATTAATTGAAAATTTTTTTCGAGGGGGGGTCCTTTTGAGACAGGGTCTCCGTGTAGCCCCAACTGGCCTGGAACTCACTATGTAGACCAGGCTGGCCTTGAACTCACAGAGATCCAAGTGCTGGGATTAAAGGCTTGCACCACCATGCCCGGCTATAAATTGAAATTTATGTCTGTGTCAATTATGATACGGCAGTTTGAGGTGGAAGGTGTATAGCTCAGTGGTAGGAGACTTACCTTTCATGCATTCAAGTTCTGGGTTTGATTCATAGCAACATAAAACAAAAATAGTGTAGTAGTTTGAATGTGTGTTGGATATGTAATAGTCATCTGAAACAATGTGTCTAAAACAAACTTTTGGTTTCTTGGTGTTCTTTCTCCCAGTCTCTCATGAAGTGAGGAATCCATTTTTCTAATGGATGTCCTTCATCAGTTAATGGGAGGTCCTTATTGGTAAATGGGAAGTCCTTGCTTCCAGTTGCTGAGGCAACAAGCTTGACTTACCTTTTTCTCATGTTTAGTTGATGAGCTGATATTTGCTTGTAAATGCTACAGTGTTTCTTGCTTGTGTTGTTGCAGTAGCTTTCCAAAGCTGGTCTCTGCTTCTTCTTTGCCCTTCACCCTCAGCAGCTGTCTGCTGCCAGTGAGTGCTCTTTTAAAGAAAGTAATCTATGGTGCTTCTCTACTCTCAGCCTATCAAAGGGGCCACATGATCTAGGCCCTGCCATTTCTATGATGTTCTCTTTCCCCTTAACTATGTTGAATAGTGAAGCTGAGACTCTCCAAAATACCCTCTTCTTAGCAAACCATAGATACTTGGTTTGTGTGATACTAATGTAGTCAAAGAAAAGAGCAACTTACTAAAGGTGATAGTACTCTTTTTTTTTTTTTTGAGACAGGGTCTACTTGTAGCCCCAGCTGTCCTGGAACTCTGTGTAGACCAGGCTGGCTTTGAACTCATAGAGATCCACCTGCTTCTGCCTCCCAAGTGTTGGGATCAAAGGAATAGTACTCTTAATAGCCTTTCTTTCCATTCCTAGTTGAGTATTCTTTTGTTCTTTAAAATAAAGAGATAAAGGTATTATAGTAGTTTGTAAGTTTTCAGATAAGCACAGAATATCAGGGAATGAGGCATTTGGTTGATATTTTGCCTGCTAAGTCAGTTTGTTTCCCATAGATAGGGAGGGATATCAATTTTCAGTAAGATAACCACACAAACTTCCTGAAGAATTAGAATATTGTTTTGGGGTTTGAAGATTGATTTTAATTATTGCTTTTTAAATTTTTATCCAAAGTTTGTGACATTTTAAAAATTACTGTCGCCGGGCGTGGTAACACACGCCTGTAGTCCCAGCACTTGGGAAGCAGAGGTAGGCGGATCTCTGTGAGTTAAAGGCCAGCCTGGTCTACATAGTAAGTTCCAGGACAGCTGGGGCTACAGGGAGACCCTGCTTCAAAAAGACAAAAAAAAAAAATTGCTGTCAACATAGGAATGTTAGTATTTGCCACTTTTCTTACACAGCTAGTTAAAATCAGTTTGTTTGTTTTTTTTAAACAGAGCCATTGAGTTTAGAACTGACTAGTGAGAATTAGCTGGGTTAAATTTAACTTTTTCGGGGCTGACTGGTTGAATTTCAGGTCTGTATATATAATCCCTTTAATTAGGGTAAAGCCAATTAAGGGGGGAAAAACTATTGCCAATTTTGTCTTTCTTTTTTCTTCCTTAAATAAAAGATCTCAAGCATAAGAGAAAAAGAGCCTTGTTGGACTGAAGAGGGGACGGGGATCTTTCCTCCTAATCTGGGCCTCCTGTCATGGTAAGTAAAAGAGAATAAGAAAATTAGGGTTGAACTCTAGCCTGACAGTAGGTGAACACTAAATCCATTTTCATTTTTGTCAGAAATCATTTCATCCTTTTCCTTTTCCTAGAACTATCTTCTTGTCTCCTTTGTTAATTCTTTAGTAGTAATCCCGTGTATACCGAACAGTTTCATTTCTGTTTAACTGAATCCTGTGAGCTAGATTTATGTCATGTTTTATGTCAGTTAGTAAATGGAGTCAAAATTAAAACATAGGATTCTTGGACAATAGGTTTTTCATTTCTTCCTTATCTAGGAAGCTGGTTTGTGGGTGTAGCTCAGTGATAGACCACATGCTTTTGCATGTATGAGTTCCCAGGCTCACCCCCCCCCAAAAAAATTCTAAGGAGCAAGATGTAGTGAAATGAAATTTTTGTATTTATGAGTTTGTTTGGTATGTGTAGAGAATTGTTTGATTGGCAGAGTTTTGTAATATTTATTATGAAATATGTTATGGAATACTCATATTATAGAATGATCAGATTGAACTAATTAACATGTTACCTCACATGGCACACATGCTGTGAATTTTCTGGATAGAAGCAATTCTCCACCACTCCCATTATGTCTCTTTAAGACAGTATTTTAATCCTGCACCCATGATGTAGCTCTGCATACCCCTACCTGCGTATTTGATTAAAAAGAGCATTTAATGAACATTTCAGTGACTTATGAGCCATTTAGGACCCAGTGTAGGCAGAAAAGATGGAGCAGCATCCAGCTGTATTTTCATTAGACCTGAGGACATGTAAACAGTGCTTCGAGGCTTAAAGGAGAAATTATTCTCTATAATGCCTGATTTTTATCTTGTAGTATTTCCTAGACCCAAAGTGTTTCATGCTGGTGCACAAAGAGGGAATTGAAAATACCATGTTAATTTCAAGTTTCATTAGGGACATGTGTGGAAAATGCTTTTCCCAAAATTAAAAACAAAGTGGAAGTAAACTAGTTTTTTACAGAAATGTCATTAAAAGGAAGAGAAAGGTTATTTCTCCAATCTTAAAGGTGGGCTAGTGTTCTCTTAATTTGTGGGCATCACAACTTTCTAATGTGTCCTGTATCCAAACATTATGAACTTGTATTATTATTTATCTGAAGTATATGTATTGGGTTTTCCCAGTTATTAACGAACTGAAAATATGCTTGCCTAATACTTCAATGGATGCATGCTAGTTCTAATGGATAGCAGACAGTGGGCTTGTGAAAGCTCTTCTGTTCTGCACTGAGGATTTGTCCTTCATTGTGTGACACACAGCTAGCAAGAACATGGTCCTCTTCTGAAGGTACAGAGGTCTCACAGGGGCCGAGCAGAATCCCTCTGGTAGTCCCTGTCCCTGTGTGATAATTGTGGAACAGTGTTACCACATAAAAAAGAATTAAAACAATTTTTAATGAAATCTCATTTAAAATTCTACTACAAGAACTCATGGTTATATATATTCTTTTCTGACTGGTTCATGTCCTTCATCTATATATATGTTTTAAGTAGTTAGAATAATAATGTAACTAAGCTTCTATTTGGCTGTTCCATAAAGTTAATTAAACATTTTCCCATGTTGATTCATTGGATTCCTGATGTCTCAGCTTTGCAGGGTGTTAGCCATTGATTCACTTAACTCTGAATTCTATTGTTTTATCATTTAGATTTTGTCCTTAATCCTTAGATTTTGTTGAAAATTTTGGAGCATTTAATTTTCAGGTTTTTTTTTTTTAAACTTTAAAAAAAATTTTATTTATTTTTGTTTTATGTGCATTTGTGTATTGCCTGCATGTAGGTAAGTGCACCCGTGTCGTGCAATGCCCATGGAGGTCAGAAGAGGCTGTCAGATCCCCTGGGACTGGAGTTACGGACAGTTGTTAGCTGCCATGTGGGTGCTGAGATTTGAAATGGGGTCTTCTGCAAGAAGAACCAGTGTTCTTAAGTGCTGAGCTATCTCTCCAGCCCCAATTTTCAGGGTTTTTTAAAAGAATATTTTTATTCATTCTTTGATAATTTCATGTATGTATATAATGTATCTTGATCATATCCAGCTGAAATCCCTACTTCTGCACCCTCTGGATCTTGCCCAGTATGTTCTCCTGCAATCATCATCATCATTATCACTCCTCCTCCTCCTCCTCCTCTTCCCCCCACTCCTTTTTTTTTTTTTTTTTTTAAAAAAATAACCCACCCAGTCCACTTAGTGCTGCCATATGTGCATGTGTGTGCGTGTTTGTCTGTGTTCCACCAGAGCTTGGGCAACCAGCTAGTGGCTACACTGTGTTTTGGCTTTTGGTTTTTTGGTCTTTTGAGACAGGGTCTCCCTATAGTCCCCGCCGACCTGAAATTCTCCACGTAGACCAGACTGGCCTTAATCTTAGAGATCTCCCTGCCTCTGCCTTCTGAGTGCTGTGATTAAAGGGCTTATGCCCTGTTTTTAATGGATTCTTCTATAGTAATTTGAGGGTAATGCCGGCAGTCTTTTGTCTTTTCTACTCTTTAAAGGAGCTTAAATGAGATCTTTGAGAGGTTAAAGATTAGGCAAATGCATACTTGGTTTTTGCTTGTTTGTAATGGAAAATCTCAAGCCTATGTAAGGAGAGAAAGGTACACAAGTACAGTTCCCGTCACCATCACTTCATGGCCACTTTTGTTTTATCTAACACTACTCCTTTCTACTTCTTTGGATTATTTTGACACAAATTTCAAGAATTTTATCAAAAGAAATGTATTTAAAAAAATTTCTTTTTTGAATGAGGTCTCATTGTAGTGTAGGTTGATCTTGAACTTCTGATCCTCCTACTTCCACTTGCCAAATGCTGGACTTATAGGCCTGTATAACTAAACCTGACTTGGAAATGATTTTTTATGTATATTTTTATTAAGTTTTTGTGCATTTCATATATATTGTAATCAAATTTAGACCCCCATCTTCATCCTCCCCATAGCACCCCCAACCAGATTTCATGCATCCTGTCATATCTGGTCAAACATTTGTACCCAGATGTCAGTTGGTGCAAGTTCATCCACTGGAGTCTAGTCAGCCTATCTAGAGTTAGTCCCTTAAAGAAAATCAACTTCCCCTCACTCCACAATAATCAGTTGCCAGTAGTTCCTCAGCTAAGGTTAGGAAGCCTGCTGCCTATTTCCTTAGTTCTTTGAAAAAGATATTTATTTATTATTTTTTATTTTATGTGCGTTAGTATATTGCCATACAGGTAAGTGCACCTATGTTGTACAATGTCTCTACAGGTCAGAAGAGGGTGTTGGGTCCCCTGGAACCAGAGTTAGAATGGTTGTTAGCTACAAGTGGGTACTGGGAATCGAACCTGGGTCCTCTGTGAGAGCAGCTAATGCTCTTAAACTCTGAGCCATCTCTCAGCTCCCTGTCCCCCCAATGCTTTGCTGTTTTTTTGTCTCATTGAGTCAGCATGGGTCCTCTGCATGCTGTCACCATTGTTGCAAGTTAATATGAGCAAGTTCCTGAAAGCTTCTGTTTCCTTACTTTCATGTACCAACCCTGGCTCTTACAATCTTTCCAGCCCAGCTTCCTCAGTGGTCCCTGAGCCATGGGTGGGTGAGGTTTAATACTGGAGTCCTATCCAGGGACATGTACTCTGCAGTTTCTTAATTCTCTGCACCTTGGCCATTTGTGGCCTTCTGTGTGCATCACACTGTGTTGGCATGAGGAAGCTTCACTGGTGAGAGTTGAGGGATGTATTAGTATTCTTTCTACCCCCTTTCTGCTATGTTCCATGAGCCTTAGGTATGGAGGTTCTACTGTAGATGTGTCAGGACTGGGCCTCTCTCAGACATATATTCTCTGTGTGTGACCAGTTGCAGAAATTTGTTATAGTTTCCGGCTGTTGCAAACAGAATCTTCTTAGATGAGTGGTATGTGATATACTTGTCAGAGTAGTAGGTAGGTTTGTGGTAGGCAGATCAGGAGGGGAACCAAGGGCAAGGCAGGGTGGGAACCAGCTTGCAGAGGGTCTAACAAACTAAGCTGGATAACATAGCTAGTCTGGCTGCAGGGGATCAGGACACATTAGGTGGGGTTTGGGTTAGGAAGCTAATCCAGAGATCTGAGGCTAGAAGAGCAAGGGTGGGCCTAGGCCCAAGACTAGGAGGGGGACAGAGTGCAGAGAGAGAGAGGGGAGGGGGAGGGGGAGGGGGAGAGAGAGAGAGAGAGATAGAGAGAGAGAGAGAGAGAGAGAGAGCCGCTCAAGGTGAGGGGAATCCTGGATGTATTTTTGATGGCCTTCAATACCAGTTTTAAGAATAGTGAATAGATTGGCAATAAGATGTAATTATTTTCACTTTTACATTTATGAACAGGAAAACTAGATATAAATTTAGTTAATAGCACCAATTGATTGGCTAGTATAATCCCTTTTCCCATATGTGCCTTAACTTAAAAAAAGATTTTATTTTATGTGTGAGTGTTTTGCCTGCATGTGTACATTTATACCATGTGTGTGCCTGGTGCCATCTGAGGCCAGAAGAAGGCTTTGGATCCCCTTAAACTGGAGTAACAAACAGTGGCTAGCTGCTATGTGGATTCTGGGAACCAAACCTGGGTTCTCTGCAAGAACATCAAGTGTTCTTAACTGTCAAGCCATTTCTCCAGCTCCCCATGTACTGTAAATATTTATCTGTAATGTTGACTTTCTTTCTGAAGTCTATACTTGACTCTTATACAGAGTTAAACCAGTTAAACTAGCTTGGAATTGTGGTTCATTGATCGCTCTTTAGGATTTGTGGAACCCCACTGACCTTAGAGGGCTGGCTGGAGACTTAAGTAGTTCAGATTCTGCAATGCCTGATTTTTGTCAGTAAACCAAGAAATTGACAATGTGAAATATGTTCCCTAATACTAATAAATTACTTCCTTTAGCCTAGGAAATGTGCCTACAACCTTCTTTTCAGACTACCACTTTCCAGTTTGTTTTGTTTTCTTCCAGTTTGCCATATTACC